CCCCAAAACCCCAAAACCCCAAAACCCCAAGGAATGTGTATTGAACTTTTATAGGAAATTATATAGAAATATTCAAAATATGTAGCACTTTGAATTTTTAAGGAATGATTTGTTTTAGCTTTTATCAAATAAAAGCTTTCAAGTCCATAAAGACTCCATCTCCTTTTATGGCTTCCTTAGCGTACTTCCCTGAGGTCTTAAGATCTTTTAATACCTTAATTCTTCCATCAAACCCTGGCTTTTTCTCGCTTTCTTCTGAAATAATCATCATTTCAATGTATTGATCAGAACTCTCTAAACACCCTGTTCTCAATGCTATTTCATTTAATCTATTAATGCATTTCCTAATAGTTTCTTGATCTTTTAAACATATTTTAGCTAAATTGGTCAGTTCTTAGTCTAGCCCATTCATTAACTATTCCTATTAAGATTTTTTTGAATTTGCATCGCTGTATTTTGCTTTAAGTTCTGACATCTCAGTTATCTTTTTTTCCATTTTGATTTCAAACCTATAGGACATATTTTTGTGGAAAGAAAAATGGCAGTTACCGCTGCAACATGTACAATTTTCCCCCTTTATGGCAGAGCAACCTTATTTTTCCCCATCATCAGGTATATAGCACGGATAGTGGCAAGTAAAGTTACACTTGATACAATTAGTAACATATTCTCCAGGTTTAAGCAAAATTTCACTAATTTTTGGAACTTCAGACTCTATTAAAAAGTTTTTGCTGCTTTCAATTAGACCAGCATTTAGTTTTATTTGTTCCTGAGCATTTCTTTTGTCATTCATCATTGATAAGCATATTGTTATATTAGGTTAAAGCGCTTGTATTGTTGCCTCTAGTTTTTTCCTCTCTTCTAAAACTTCTTTTGTCTAGACAAGACTTTTTCTTGATAACAATTATATCTTTGTCTTCATGAAGACATCGAAACTTTACATTCCAATGTCCCAAAAAATTTAATTAATTGGATTCTTAGCAGATTCGTTGTTTAAGTATAAAGCAGAGCTGTTAAATTTCAAATACCAGGGTTCTTTAATTAAAGGAATTAAATCGCAAAATATAGATTTTTGCGATGGCATTGAAATTCCTGTTTAATTTAAGTTCTTAGGATCACCAGGATAATTCAAAGCTTCTATTACTTTAGGCTCATCATTATCACAAAAAGTAATCATGCAGACAAAATTTTCAGCTACATCTTTTCCATACATTTCAAGTATCTATGAGAAAATGTATGTTTGATTAGATGTTAATCTTGCATTAGACGCTTATGCTACAAAGCAAATAGCATCAATTGATTCAAGGTGATCAACAAAGAATTTTCTGATTTAATCAGTTATAAATTAGTCTTACTTTATACCTCTCGTATCTCCAAAGCCAGGAGTGTCTACTACTTTTATTGGTGGAAAGCCTTCACGATGGGATTTGACATAATAAACATTAACATCACTTGTCTAACTCAGAGCCTAGGAAATCCCAGTTTACTCATTTATTAAGATGTATCTGAAATTGTCAGAAAATTAAACTCCCGTGAGAAAGTTTATGAAGAAATTTAGGAGTGTAGTTTTACCTGATCCTGTTTATCCAACTACCATTATCACCTTCGCTTTCGCTTCTTCAATATGAGAAAAGGGAGAGACTTTAGTTAAAAGCTCCTGAATTTCTTTTTATGATTTACCTTATGCTTTTGCGTCTTCTGTAATTTTATCTTTTGCTATTTTTAACCAATCTGGATAAAGATATATATCTAACCCATTATTCTGTTTCAATGAGATTGCATTTTCTAAGGGTTTATTCTAAACTTAACTGTTATTGATTGAATTATCATTAATTTTTGACTAGACTTAGGGAATAAGATTGACTGTCTTAGTATCTTAGCATATATCTGCAAGTGTAACATCGCTTTCATCTTCAAACTCAATAGTGACGCCCTATGATTCAAAAAGAATTGAAGCATGTAAAAAGAGTATTTTTCTGATTTCTTTAAGAGTTTAATGATGATTAACTGGTTTAATCTTGTAAGGCTATTCATCAATGATAAATTTAGTGAGTATTGGCTTTGATTCCATTCAGAAAAATAATTTTATAAAAAGATTACAATATTGATCAAAAATATAGTTTTATAATATTAATATATTCACCTGACAAAAAATAAAAAAATTCTTATTAAGGGGTTTTGGGGTTTTGGGG